AATTTTTGAGCTCAAAATATAAACGAGCCGAACACTTTCGGTCGTTTACACCCCTACTCTTAACTAATGGGTGAAGAAGGTTCGTTGTAATGAAAAGAGTGGTTAAAATGCTCTATTTGAAATATTACATTTAAGCGGTTCTTACATAACCATCATTCAAAACTTTAAATATAATATTTTGACCTCCTAAACATAAAATCTACATTTTTAACCCCCCAAAACTACTTTCCTTTTGGAACCGAAGCGGTCGATCAATCATATTTAAAGCTCTCTATGATTGAAATGTAAAATTTTAATTTTAGGCCATCAATTCATTATATTTAATATTTTAGATGATTGTCATGTTAATATATGTAATTGAAGAACTCATCATGAAACAATGCCACATGGCATATTGTCATCACTCGAAAGCTAATATAGAAAATTGATTGGAAGACATTGCCACGTGGAAGACAGATGCTTCAACAGCTATTTCCTCTAATGACCAAGTTATGTAATGTCATCACAAAGTGTATTTTTATTCAATACTCACCTTCCGACGTATTTCTCCCCATAACTAAAGAGCGGAGATAATCGCCCAATTACATGTATTAATTACGGGATTAAAATCAAAGCTCCTAAATTAAGGGTCCGTTTGGGGCAGCTTATTTGCTGCGGTGTCATTTTGAAAACGCACCTAGGCTAGGCTGTTTGGATAAACTGCTTTTTGACAGTTTATGCTTTTGCTAGGTGCAGTGACAGCTTTCAGGCAGCGGTCTGAATTTTCTAAAAAAAAATAAAAATTTTTAATAGCCACCGCACCTAGCTTATCCGCTAATCAGCAGATTATACAATAAGCTGCAGCTGCCCCCAAATAGACCTTAAGTTAATTATTCGACTTAATTAAAACACCACAATTTAATTATAAAAAAAGCAAAAAAAAAACAAACAAATTAAATCTTATTTCCATGCATCTTCGCACACATGCTGCTCTGCTCATTTGCATTCAAAACATGAAGAAAGCTGCAGCTGGACTCAACGATGGGATCGCCCTCTGATTATTATGATGCCTGAAACCAAAAAATAATGATTTTTAATATCACATAAATTTTGATTTATGTATTCGATGAATTCGGATTTATCAAATCCACACTGCGATGTTTTTATTCACGAACATTGATGAAATAAATCATCACGTAGTCGGATTTACTAAACCAGGATTTATGTCGTATAAGTGATGGAACACACGAAGAAGAAGATGAAACATGAGAAAATTGAATGGGCAAACTGTTCCCCCTACACCCAATTTGAGGAGAAATATTTGCGTATGTCTAACGTACGCAGAGTTGCGTACGTTGGTAAGGTTACATGGAAGATATTGGAGGGTTACATCTGTGTTATACCCCCTGTAACCTACCGGTAACTAGTAAGTTTCGCGCTTCTATTTTCATATATTTGTAAGTTATAGGTAGGTTATAGGTAGGTTACAGGAATTTGTAAGTTACAGGTAGGTTATAGGTAGGTTACAGAAGGTTATAGGTAGGTTACAGGCCGCCCTTGAATGAAGGGGTGGTTAATTTGTGTAAATAAAATATTTAGGGTGGTTTATATGTAATTAAAACTTAAAAACGAGAGATTAATATCAAATTTTTCTTAATGATTTCCTGAAAAAAAAAAAAATGTTCTTCAATAAATATTAATTTAATTAGATGAAATTAGTAGAAAATATTCTGAATTAGCATACCATGTATTCTTCTCGGCGGCGGCCTGAGGGCGAACTCTACTGGAAGTCTTAACCGATCCTCTCCTCGGGATCATCGCCGGAATCTCCCGCCGGCCGACCATATTATCGGCGGGCGGCGGCGCGCCGACGTCTGCGGGGGG